TATCAGAAAAAAATATATCTCTGTAAATTAACCTCAGTTTCAGGTATAGAGATGTGATCTATTTCTGTGACATGTGCTTTTGACCATCCACAAGAACCTGCGGTCATCCGATGTTCAGTACTTCAGTACTTTGATTTTTTATTACAGATGTGGGTCATTATCCAAAAAACATGCAACACTATGTTATTTGGTCTTTTCAAGTCAAAAGACATGAAACTATATCAAAATGTATCAAAATAACTATTGCATATGAAAGATATGAATGTTTTGTGATACACTATACACAGTTTACAGTATGAAATGTTATAAAAACATTCTTAATTTTTTCTCAAACCCTTGGATATAGCCAGAATCAACTGTTATTTTTTACTATAAATCCCTTCAGACCTGAAATAGGGCTATTATTCATATCATTTGTTATTAGAAATTATCACTTTTTATTGCATTTGATACACACAAACATTTTTTTAATGATTTGGAAGGTGTATGTTGGTTTTATAATAAAAAAAATTAACCAAAAGGAAAAGTCTCATTTTTTAAGTCAATGGTGTAACCAAAAGACAAATTGGTAGGGTAAGAGTTATCTTTCACAATATTTCAGCATTTACTGTAATTTTTTTTTCAGAGACAAGTGCCTGTGATCCACTTTCAGGAATTTTATCTAAAGTCTGGTATTTTTGGGAGCTGATTTCAATTCTTTTATTTATAATTTGAAACAAGAATAAAATGTTTCTGCTGTTATTTGCTACATTGAAATTTTACCCAATCTACCTTTGGGCATTGTTTTGGCCACTGATTTCCAAAGAATAGAGATTACTTATTTGGAATCACTTGACAGACCATGTCAAATCAAGAAAACAACGCAAGAAACACATACCATCTATAGATCATACTACTGGGGGAGTTTAATCCATACATATATGTGTTGTTACAATAGAAGCTTGTAATTGAACAATTGAAACCCGTACATTTTGGAACGCCCAGTCTTCATCACAAATTGTGCATTTCTATTCCATTGCACTTCACAATGCATAACCATATCGGATCTATCAGCATTAATGAGGGTAGGAATTTAGAGATAACTGTATTGTATTTGAAGCTTTGCTGACGTCCATCGGTAGTTTTACTGTCGCAAATTGAGTTTACCTGGCGACGCGTAGCGGATTTTACGCTTATTGTCATCCAATCAAAAACATTGATACAAAATAATGGCATTAGAATTAACCGTTACCCTTATTTTTGGAAAGAATTTAACGTGATTCGTCAAAATCAGTCGATTTTTTTTATCGTCATAAAGAAAGAGTACATTTTATCGTTATGCACCAAAAATTACCGTTAACGTCATTTGGCAAGATTTTTTATCGTTATTCGTCATGAAGGTACCCCCATTACGACCCTCACTAATATGTTCGCTGAATTTGCATGATATATTTGCCACTTGACGTTAAGTTGATGGGGGAAAGGGGGGTTTACTGAAATCCATAGAATTCTTTAATAATTTGCCAAAATGTAGTTTATATCATGCTTTTTTCAAAAATATAATGAAAAGTATGGGTCACTGTTTTTTTCAAGCTACAGGTTGTGCAAAATTGTCAGATTTTGTAAAGATTATACATGGAAAACCCTGTTTTGTGCTATATAAAGAAAACCAAACGATAGAATGTTAAGATAAAATATGAGAAGGCTGCTCTAATTATGTGTTTTCATAAAATAGAAAGAAAAATTGGGGTCACGGGACTCGTTTTCTTGCAACTAAACAAAATGGATAAATTCATAATATAAAAGTTACATTAGCTGAATTATCTCCCCTTATATGACAAAGTTTAAAAAAAATTATTCAAATAAAAATATTCTTTTTTTGTAAAAATAGAGTCGAGAAATATGATAAAATACATATTTTTCTTCGTTAAGAAGAAATGTCTTACAATCAATATCATTCATCTCTCAAAATTTTGCACATTTCATTAAAGATCTATACCGATTGTTGTCTGCTATTTCACAAACCAAGACGGCGGGAGATCTACCTTAAGTAACAGCTATTCCTGCTTCTTTTTCGAAAAAAATATAATCTTATAACGAAGTTTTAATAGATCATGTCATTCCTCTTTAATAATATCGCTCATTTGACTTGCAGATAAAGTGTTGTGACAACCTGCAATTGACGCACTAGATCGATGTATAACTAATCAAAAGCTTACTATTTCGTTTTATCGTGGCAATTGTCTTAAGCAATTAAAAATCAAAAATAAAATACATCAATGAAAATAGTACACATGCAAAATATTATAGTTCACTCGGGTGTTCCTGATGAATGTTATGTTCCCGTGATTGAACACACTATTAATATTGACGTAAAATACAAAGAAAACTGAACAAGTGACATGGTTTAATGATTTACAATAACATACTAAGACAGGTTTGGACGAAGCTAATTGATCATCTTACTTTTGTTTAAGTAAATGGGCTTTCAACAAATTCTGATAATTATTTGTTTATGTTTTCATGTTTTGACGACTTTCAGTTTCAAATTCGTGCATTTTCCCGTAGAATGCTTATATTCTTACGTCATCGTTCAATGACGTCATTTACACCGTCTGACCTCGGGTAATTTATTCATAAAAAGCAAACGACGTGGGAGTCAGATTGGAACAGCCCAAATTATCCATGACGTTGACGATCAGCTGACGTTTCAATATATTCATATTTTACCACGGGTGTGTACTCAAAGCGTTTGAAGAACGTCATATCAGAATACATATTTTATACCAGCTCTTAAATTTGTAAGTTATAACGTCACGGTACCCAAATTGCACCGAGTACCCAAATTGCACCTATTTAGCAAAAATAGCAGAGGAAATCTTACAAGTTTTCCTAGAGACTTAACAATTTGTATTTTTATGATTTTACTCTATGCACGTCTTTCAACGTAGGTAAATATATTTAAATATACACAAAAAGTTCACAGTATATATAAACAGATGAAGTGTTCACTGGAAAAAGTAAATGTACGGAAACGTCGCCATGCGACGTCCACAAAAAGTCATCTTTTAAAAATTAGCAAATAAAATATGTCACAAGCATTCATTTCTTAAAAAATGAATAGTAAGCATGGACTGATGTCAAATTGTTCTAAATATTTAAAGAAATAAAACAAAATATATGTTATTCGACTTTTAAGGATGTGAATTTAAGCATGGATGAAATTTGGGTACTACTCATTAAAGAATCATTGATCGTTTGGAGGTCTGTTCAAACCCATTTTTCTATGATACAATATGGATTCAAAATTAAATTGGTGGAACCATATAGTAAATAATGATACATCTTCAAAATAAACACAGAATGGAAACTTTTGTCTAGATCATAAAAAAACGTAGGTGAAAAAACTGTCAAAATAGGTGCAATTTGGGTACCCTCACGTTATATTAAATATTGTTAATACTTTTTCTTCGTTTAGAGACACTGTTACTGTTAAGTTTTCTGTCAAATATAATATCGAAGATAAAGATTCATAAACCACGATGAAAAAGTATGCCGAGATCGGTATTTTTTATGAATAAAATGAGAATTGGTTTGATGTTTGAACCAGAAATTAAATTATTTAAATTGCAGGCCTTCACAATTTGTTTCAATTTTTATTGTATATCTGAAATAAATAATACATACCTGTCAAACACATAACATGCATTCACATTGTTTTGTCTTTTTGTTATATAACTGTACTACAAAAGACAGCTGTCACAGATTTTATATCTTGCCTTCACATTTTGTTTACACATTTGACTAAGCAAGATGGCTAAAGTAACCCATGCTAATTTTACTTTTATTATGTTCATTTGCCTTCTTCCATGTACATTGATATTTTAAATCTTACATATTCTGATTGTTAAATATGCAATAACAAGCAATGTCCATAATGTATGTGACTTTAATTGAGATGTACCTAACAATGTCTACTCTGAATGTATATAATCCTAAATATTTATAATTGTGAATAAACATTAGTAAATTAAATAATATTGAGTAAAATCTAGACACACTCATGACTAGTCAATTTCCCGCGTCAGGCTAAATTTAAACGAGTAGGCAATGAGAATGCCCTAAAGCACCTAAAGTAAAGCCAAAAGTACCACGTGTCATCAACACCGAAATTCAAAATGTGTACTCTGTTTCGTAAAAATATTCTGTTAACGCTGTTTATCAAATAAAAATATCGTTTGCGTTAATGCTTTTCTTCCTCCCCGGAATATTATTGTTCTCAAAACGAGGCTATTTAGCAGTTCTTTTTGCAGTTTTGCATTAAATGGAAGAAAAAAATTATGTTGTCCTTAAGCAAAAAAAAAAATGTAAGCTGACTCATTTCAAGAATATAATAACTGATATCCGACAGACTGAAATGTGATGTTCTTTCATAGATTTATCAAGTTCTAGTTCATGTGCCTAAACGTACCTTCTCCTTTCAAAATTAATGTCTCTTCTCCTTTCAAAATTAATGTCTATTCTCCTTTCAAAATGAATGTCTAGGTCATTTGATATCGATAGATGGATATGATGTACTGTGCTACACTGTACATGCTACCTTAGTGAAGTGTGATGTATAAAGACGATTCGTTTGGAAGATCAAATGGATTTAATGAAAAACATGATATTTTAACATGAATAGTTTTTTGTGATTTAACAAACAGAATCCTAACACTAGTAAAGGGAAAAAAACCTTATACATTGTAATCAGTGCGACTATTATGACTTGAAATTTGAAGAGCTTAAATTAAAATATATATACGGTATTCATGTTTTAAAAAATCAAAAGCTTTTATGAAAAGAATAAATTTTGATATCATAATCACCTTTTTCTATAAAGGGTTATGTTATGAAATAACAAGTCTCCCACCAACTTTTCCTAGTAAGGCAATGACACCATACTATTGTAAAATCAAAACTAGTTTACAGTTCAATGTTGTGATATTAAAGAATAGCATGTTAATGATGTCAATAATTCATCACAGCTGAGCGCGACGTGGTGTTCTAGATTGACGGAGATTCGGTTGTCTACGACAAAACTTCCGAAACATATACTGAAAAGCGTTTCTAAAATCCACATTGAAGATCGTGTAAATAATGGGATTTAAACAGGAGTTAACATACCCAAGAATAACTAAAGCCAATTCCAAGTACGATCCTCTTAAGCCGCACTCTTTACAGAATGGGTTCAATAGATATACAGAAAAAAATGGCAGCCAACAAAATATGAATGCACCCATTATCATTCCAAGTGTTCGTGCTGCTTTCTTTTCTTTTGTGAGTGATATTTTCTGTCTTTCCTTGAAAAACTGTTCCAGTTTCTGAGATGAGCTATTAGCAGTAGCGGGTCTCCCCAGTAGAGGTGAAGGATGCATACTCGGTGTTCTCGTTTCAGCAGTATCATTGTTACTTTCATTAGACACCAAATCTATTTGGACTTCAGGAGTGTTAGATTTTCCATTTAATACTACTAATTTTGAAGCTGCACACGCTTGAGCCCGCTTCCGTAGCCTTTCTCTTGTTGCTAAGAATATTTTTAAATAAACAAATGACATAATCGCCAGAGGTATAAAAAATGAACCACATGCTGAATAAACAACAAAACCTAGTTCTTCAGTTAGATGACATATTTTGGCATCGCTGTCGTATAGACTTCCGGTGTCACTCCAACCAAGTAATGGTGGCACTGATATAATCGCTGCAAGTGACCAAATCAGGACAATCATTAACAACACAAGTTTTATCGTCCGCCTTCGGGCATAGTTGATAGGATCATGAATTGCAAAATAACGATCCAAAGCAATACCACAAATATTGAAAATAGAGGCTGTACAAAGTAAAATATCCGATGTAAGCCACACATCACAGAACTCTGAGCCATACGTCCACGTCCCAGCAATGGTGTTTGTTATATGAAACGGCATGACTATCGTTGCAACGGCCATGTCAGCAAAAGCCAATGAAATCACTAGGAAATTCTGAACATTTCGTAATGGTCTGTATATAAAAATGGCAGCAATTACAAATGTGTTCCCCACCAATGTAATAAATATGACAACAGAGAGCAAGATAGTAACGATATAAACTTCCACCAACCGGCCTAACTCATCATGTAGATGAGCGAAGTTGAAAGAATCGTTTGTGAAATTCTTGGCCATTTCCAATATTGCTGACATCTACTGTCTGTTTAATCGTCTGTTGTCTACTAATGATGCATCATGTCTCTTGGAGGAAATAATTCATGTGCCTGTAAATGTAAGAAAGCGTCGAATCAATTAAATGACAATTCAAGTAAAAAAACTGTCACTCTCGTGACGTGAAAACAGCATATCTTACCGGTAATTACCTCAATTCTTATAAAAATTACGAATCAGACGCTTCCTTTAGATTTTAAATTGGCTCTTAGCATCCAAACAAGGTCTCAGATGTTCCAATCTTTTGATACGTTATTCTGGTGAACTTTGAGTAGAACTGTAATTACAGCCTGATTAATCACTAGTTTCACCACTTCCAAATGAAATTGAGTTGTCAATACACGTCCATATGTTGTTGCCCACTTGAAAAAAAATATCTTCACTGATCACGCGAGGTTAGAAGAAAAGATAGTAATTTCAAGATTGACAGCCTCTAGCACTTAATAAATTGTTTAGGGCTCATAACAAGTATAAAGTCCAACATTGTGTTTCTTATTGAAAAAAAGTTGGCGATATCAGTGATTCCAACAACAAAGCTGAAGTACGCTGCACGCAAATAAAAATGAAAACAGAGGTCATTAGATTTCGACTTTGTGTCAACATCAATTTGTTGTATTTTTAAAAATTTATACAAAAATCAAAATAAGTGGATTTTTCAAGAAAAGCATAAACAAGAAAAGAATGATGTCAAGAAAAAAAATTAAAAGAGAAATAGGAACAAACATTTGTACTGTGTACCGAATTAGGAATCTTCATGATTTTTAATTCCACATTTATTATCTTCTATCTCCTTTTTACTCCAGTAAATTCTATTATCATACAACTACAAACCATGTGTATACTGTTTATACAGTTAGCAAATATTTGCCGATATATTTTATTTAATAATTAATGCTTAAAACTGTCAATAAAGTAGTAAATGAGTCGGTAAAAATATTAGTAGTTTGCTTTGTGCCGCATTTTTGCGCCTGTCCCAAGTCAAGAGCCTCTGGCCTTTGTTAGTCTTGTATGTTTTTTTTAATTTTAGTTCCTTTATATGTTTTGGAGTTTAGTGTGACGTCCATTTCCACTGAACCAGTACACAATTTTATTTAGGGGCCAGCTGAGGACCACCTCCGGGTGCGGGGTTTTCTCGCTGCGTTGAAGACCCATTGGTGGCCTCCGGCTGTTATCTGCTCTTTGGTCGGGTTGTTGTCTCTTTGACATATTCCCCATTTCCATTCTCAATTTTATTTAACGTCAGTCCTTTTTTTTTTGGTTATTAACTCAGTGACATAATCTCGCGTTAGTTTGACATTGTTGATTATGAATCAACGGTATTTATTGTTTTAAATTAATTGAAAAGACCATGAATAATGGATGCAAGCGTTTATGTCCGTCGATGTCAATCCAGCATAAACATGTCCAATCTCAAATCAATTATACCTTGACTGATTAACTTCGAACTGTAGAAAAATCTCAAGGTATGTTACATGTATTGACCATATGCATTTTGTCAAATGATGTGTGGTAACTCAAGTTAATATTTTTTTTAGATTATTATTAAAATGAATATCTCAAGGATTTGAACACTTCTACATGATTTTCCCGGGTTTGATTACTATACGGTAATTTTTCAGTCAGAATAAACATTTTGATATTAGATTTAATCATTTGGCCGTGCACGTTTGGCTGAGCGAAGTGTATAAATACGCAGACACTTCCGGACAGAATCGTGACTTTAAAGCCGCTCCTTCGTACAGGAAGACGAAATGTTATCTGAACTTTAAAGAACATTTGCTACAACTCTCTGAGAAGTAAACAAATGACTTGTTTCATGGCAAAATATCTGCCCATATTTCTACTTATACTTTTTATCTAGTGGCAATATTTATGTCCCGTTTTAAATCATGGTCGACCTGTCATTTTGCACAAACCTTCCTATTGAATTTATTGTTTTATTTGTTCTCGTCTTGAATATATATTTGCCAATAGACGTTAAGCAAAAAAGCAGTAAATGAATCATTGCTTTTCTAGAGTGGGGACGATTCGTTGTAAACATATTACATAAACTGTTGTCTTTTGCTGAAACCGTATATAATTCCTGGTATCTGCTGGTTAGCAAGTACCGTGTAATTTCATAGCATCTATCTGTAACAAACATAAGTTGTTTTTTAAAGAATAAATCGCATATACTTTTGGTGAAAAAGTATATACAAACCTTAAACATAAGGATTGTTGTTTACGAAATCTCTTCTCTGTCGCAAGGAAAGTGGAATGTGTTTCCTTTGTAATTGCCATAAAAATTTAAAGCACTATATTTTGCTAATAAACTTGGCACAAAAGGAAGACCCGTCCTCGGATTCCTAACTGTGTTTTCACAAATATGATTATGATCACTTTAATCAATTAGATTATCTTAACAGTGGAAAACATTCCCATTTAAGTGTAGTTTCGACGCCCATTGATAATAACTACTTTATTTGGAAATGATGGTTCTATTGATATTACCACCACCGAGAGGAATACTAAATAATCAGGATGTTCTTCTTTTATGATAATCTTCGATTACAAACGAAGTTCTATAAAGCCAATACAATCATATATATATTAAAATAGACAAAACTTATTCAGGATAAATGACGCAGGGACAATTACTTGTATCATTATGTCTGCATCAAACAAACGTATTTTGTTCTGGGAGTTGAAAAGGCTCGATAAAAAAGTATAAATATTTGTAAGTCAAGCATTTTCAAAACTATAATTTCAGTAAAAAAAGAAACACATGTATATATATACAGAAGAAAACTTTTAAAAAGGATAGAAGAAGAATGTGAAATATGTTCTGACTTAAAAAGCAAACATGTGCAATGATAGTGAATAATGATCATATGAAAAAAATTCAAGTGGAAAAATTGTAAAATTCTTTTTTAGAATGTTATAAGAATAAACGAATTCCTATACTTGTATGCAATTTGATTGGTTAAGATGTGTCAATCAACCTCATGCCAGTGTCCTCTCTAGACAAACAATCTTAATAAACAAGTAGAGAAACGTTCATCAGTCTAATCTATTGGGAATTTATTTCTCGTTTGTTATTCTTCGAGCCAAAACTTTGGAAATTCTATAATGCTAAGAAAATATTTGATAGCAGAGTTCCTGAAATAACTTGTGGTATATTTTGATACGTTAAGCTACATAACCTTAGGCAAATATCCGACAATAGTGATTACGTTTTTGGTAAGAAATGTGTCAATTAAAAACTAATGCCCTAAGAAGTAATAAGGCAGACTTGTAATTGCAAATATTTCTTAAGTAAATTTGTTAACAAAGATTTCATACTGATAATTGTCAACAGGCAAAATACAAATGACATATGTATTCTATGAAAAGTATATCCATTATAAAAGTTAAAAAAAAGAATGTGGCCATAGTACACGGATGCCCCACTCGCACTATCATTTTCTATGTTCAGGGGACCGTGAAATTAGGGTCAAAACTCTAATTTGGTATTAAAATTAGAAAGATCATATCATAGGGAACATGTGTACTAAGTTTCAAGTTGATTGGACTTCAACTTCATCAAAAACTACCTTGACCAAAAACTTTAACCTGAAGCGGGACAGACAGACGAACGGACGGACGGACGAACGAACGGACACACACACCGAAAAACATAATGCCCCAAGGTGGGGCATAAAAAAGTAAAAACATCATTCACTAACTACTCGTTTCCTGGAATTACAGTAAATTATTCATACAAATGAGATAATATAGATAAATGATCTAAGTGAGAGTCATTCAATATACAATAATTATCATGCATTTTTCTTTATAATTTTATCATCGCTTGATTTTTTATTAAAAAATTAAAACAAAAGTTCATATCAGTTCGATGTGCATGCTATTGAAAGATACTTTAATATAGTTTATGATTCATTAATTTCATTCGTGATCTAAACTTTAGATTCGTGCATTTTTCATTTTACGATGTCGACTAAAACTAGAAGCTATAAAGAGCCTGTGTCGCTCACCTAGTAGGTCTATGTGAAATCTTAAACAATGGACACTCTCAAACATTGTGGACAAGAATAGGATTCATGACAAAATCTCTTTTTTTGTTGATCTTGTACAAATTGCTGATAATTTTTTCTGTTTACAATTTCTCTGTATCTTCTTTATTTGTTGCCCAAAACACAAAAAAGGTTAGTAAAATAAATCGTCATTTCACTCCCATAAAGAGTCTACTTACGTTTTCGCTAATATTTGACTTATTTGTAAATCATGTCTTACTGATAATATTTTGTATATAAAGTGTTTATCTATCTTTTATAGCTGTTCAGAAAATAGGCAAACACGCAAAAAAAATTGTAAAATCGTCATTTTTAAGAGCAAGAACTCCAATAAGGAGTCGACTGACGACTTCAGTCATTTAACTTATTTGTAGATCTTGTTCTTGCTGATCATTTTTGCTATTTTAAGTTTCTCTCTATTTATCATAATTTTCAAGATAATAGGAAAAAGTGATTATAAAATAGTAAAATTCGTCAAATATATACATTTCACAAATGTACAAATTACGAAAGTACATGTCACAAATGTACAAATAACAAAAGTTCATATTACAAATGTACCATGTTGCAATTAAGGAAAATCAAAATTAGAATTTTGAATTACACAGTTCCATAGTTCGAGATGCAAATCTCACAGTTTCAGTTGTCAAGTTACACTGTAACAAATTAAGAATTGCAAAGTTGGAATTTCAAAATTACAATTTTTCAAATGTAAGAATTACAAAGTTTGAATTATGACACCTTCGGCTTTCCATAGATTTTGTGGTGTTTGCTATCGAAATTTCGAACGTTTTCAATTTTGAACCAAATAAGCAAGGTTACCTTTGTTTTATTGCATGATTTTTCATAGATCCCATGGGTTTCGAATTACAGCATATATCTCAAAATGACATAAATGACTTTTATTAAGAA